TAGAAGGAACACATTTGACAAGAAGGTTATGAGGTCATGTCCTGTCAGTAAAAACAGTCAGAGGTCAGTGATAGAGAGAAGTGCTCACTCCAGATGAGAACTGAGTGCTGAGAGGAAGTAAAGTGATATGTAGGACACCTTCTGACTAAACCATAAGACCTAAAAGGTAAGGAGAAAGAAAAAAAGTGCCTGCCAGAGAGACAGGCCCTGGTCCAGGAGGGAGACTGGGGACGTTTGTGGAAGGAAGTGAACACTACTCAAGGGAGTGTTCAAACATTGTACCCCTGAAGCCTAATCATGAGCAACTTTGTAACTTTGTAATTCATGGTGATTTAATACATTAATTTAAAACAAAACAGAGGCCTGCCAAGGGACTGAGATGGGAAGGACCCAAAAGAACCAAGACCAGGTATTTTCCATGAAAGCCACCCCTGAAAGTCTGCTCCCATAATCAGGAGATTTTCTTAGTGGGTTGAAGATCAGTCTGAATTTGTTCAGATGTATTCATAAAGAACAAACATTCCATGGGGCTGGAGCGATAGCACAGCATAGGGCATTTGCCTTGCATGCGGCTGACCTTGGTTCAATTTCCAGCATCCCATATGGTCCCCCGAGCACTGACAGGAGTGATTCCTAAGTGCAGAGCCAGGAGTAACCCCTGTGCATCACCGGGTGTGACCCAAAAAGCAAAAGAGTAAAAAAAAAGAATGAACATTCCTTCCCCATGCTTCCCTTGACCTCTTTAGGAAAAAGGAATGTGTCTAGATAGTTCCACTGGTACTGCTACAGTGGCAGTAGTCATACAGTTAGTAACATCAAACAGGTGAGTTCACATGTATGAAAAAGCTCCTCTGTGTTACTTTCACAGGTTGTTTCCAGTTCATAAATATGTCTTCTCTCCAAAGGAAACGCATTGACCACTTTTTTAAAAATAGGCTTTCTAAGGGCCAGAGTGATAATACAGCAGGTAGAATGCTTGACCTTGCAGGCAGCTAACCCACATTAGAACATTAGAACCCCAGTACCTTATAAATTCCTCTGATACCCTCCACCACTGATACCCTCAGCACCACTGGGTATAGCCCCCAAAATAGCCATTTCCCCCTCCCCGAAATCAGCTTTTAATAGTTGAGTCTACTCAACTCAATTAAATTTAAAGGCAAACACCCTACCACCGTATTAATACTCTAGCCCCTAAAAAGTCAGTCAATACCATTTAGTTTGGGCTGGAGCGATAGCAGGGCTGGAGCGATAGCACAGCGGTAAGGCGTTTGCCCTACAAGCAGCCAACATGGCCGGCCCGAGTTCGATTCCTCCACCCCTCTTGGAGAGCCCGGCAAGCTACCGAGAGTATCTCACCCACACGGCAGAGCCTGGCAAGCTACCCGTGACGTATTCGATATACCAAACACAGTAAAAACAAGTCTCATGATGGAGATGTTACTGGGCAAATCGATGAACAACGGGAGGACCATGACCATTTAGTTTATACACTGCTGACCCCATTTCTATTTCTAGCATGGTAGATTTCTGGCCCCACCCAGCACCACCAATAGTGTAGCCCCTAAGCACATAGCCATGAGCAAAAGACTTTTTAAAAAAAAATGATTTTCTGTTTTATTATTATTATTATTATTATTTTAATTTTTATTAGTGAAACACCAGGGTACAGTTGTAGATTTACAATTTTTTGTGCTTGGGTTTCGATTATACAATGATCAGATACCCATCCCTCCACCAGTGCCCATTTTCCACCACCATGGATAATATCCCTCCCACCCCCATTCCTCCCATCCCACCCTGCCTCTGTGGCAGGGCATTCCCTTTTGTTCTCTCTCTCTTTTTGGGTGTTGTGGTCTGCAAAAGAGGCATTGAGTGGCAAACATGTCCAGTCCATAGTCTACTTTCAACTTGCATCTCCCCTCCTGGGAAGATCCTCCAAACACCCTTTATTTGGTGCTCCCTTCTCTATCTGAGCTGCCCTTTCCCCTAGAATGCCCGGTTGGCCTATAAGCTATGGAGTAATCCTCCTGGTGCTGATCTCAGCTATTCGTGGGTATTAATCTCATACTTTGTTACTTTATATCCCCCAGATGAATGCAGTCTTTCTATGTCTATCCCTCTCTTTCTGACTCATTTCACTTAGCATGATACTTTCCATGTAGTACCACTTGTATGTAAATTTCATGACTTCATCTTTTCTCACAGCTACATAGTACTCCATTGTGTAGATGTACCAAAGTTTCTTTAACCAGTCATCTGTTCTTGGGCACTCAGGTTTCTTCCAGTTTCTGGCTATTGTAAAGAGTGCTACAATGAACAAACAAGTGCAGATGTCACTTCGACTATACATTTTTGCCTCTCTGGGATATATTCCCAGGAGTGGTATTGCTGGGTCAAATGGGAGCTCAATTTCTAATTTTTTGAGAATCATCCATACTGTTTTCCAAAAGGGCTGAACCAGTCGGCATTCCCATCAACAGTGAAGGAGTGTCCCTTTCTCGCCATATCTGCGCCAGCACCGGTTGCTTTTGTTCTTTTGAATGTGGGCCAGTCTCTGAGGTGTGAGATGGCATCTCATTGTGGTTTTGATCTGCATCTCCCTGATGATTAATGATGTAGAGCATTTTCTCATGTGCTTTTTTGCCATTCTGATTTCTTCTTTGAGAAAGTTTCTGTTCATTTCATTGCCCCATTTTTTGATGGGGTTGGATGTTTTCTTCTTGCGGAGTTCAACCAGCACTTTGTATATGAGCAAAAGCCTTTGAACACAGCCCCTCCAGGTGGGACCTTCAACTCTCTCCCAAAATAAATGCAGTTTCCCTATAGTACTGATGAGTGCTTTCATAGTTATAGTGGTTAAGTAGGGAATAGAAATAGCTTTGTTGACTTTAAGCAAGCTATCGTCTCTAAACAGTCCTCACAACTACTGCTTTTGTTATAAAGACTGTGGAATTAGCATGGGGGTAAGTTATTTTTATCATGGCCCCCCGAAAGCTTGATCAGCCTTCAGCAAGGCATGCTGGGAAAGAGAGGAGCTGGTATGTCCCCCGAGGTGTCTGCACAGAATGAGAGCAGAAGGAACTGCGGCGCTCAGGACAGTCTCTCAGACACATCTGCTCCACTTTAATCCTACACTCCACTTCCTCTTGTTCACTCATTCCTTTCCTTTCCGTAAATGATAAATCTGTGCAGAAATTGCACACTTTCACATTGGGTTTTTTGTTTGGTTGCTGGGCCACACCCAGCAGTTATCAGGGCTTGTCCTGGGGTTTCATTCAGGGATCACTTCTGACAGTGCTTGGTGGACCATATGGATGCAGGGGATGGAACCTGGGTCAGTTGCATACAAAGCAAATACTTTATCCACCGTGCTATGACTCTGGCCCCAAACTTCTACTCTGAAAGATAGCATTCCAGTTCTGATCAAGGAGTGGTATTAGAATTAGTTTGTTTTTACTATTTACCATTAATGTATTGTTAATGATCAGAGAGAATTAGAAATAGCAAAGTCTTTATTTCTAATATGTTATATATATTATGTATTTACATATTTTATATTGTTATACATACTTATATCTCAAATCTTGACTTAAGCGTTAGAGGCCTGGGATGTGGTTCAGTCAGTATGCAGCATGTGCCTTCCATGTGTGAGACCCTGTGTTCAAATCTCATCACTTTGTAGTTTCCCAAGAAACACTGGGAATGACCTCTGAGCACCAATCCATTAGTATCTCCTGAGTACTCCTGGGTGTTGCACAGTCCACCCCCCCAAAAAATACTTAAAATAGTAACATTCTTTTTATTCACTTGCATTTTCTTATTTAATCCCCATTATAACCCTGTGTGGAAAAGAGTTTTCATCTGTTTTAAAGATCATAAAATTGAAGAGGGAAAATAACCTTCATAGAGTCACATGGCTAGTAGAATAAAGGATTTCAACTCACAAGCTATTAACAAGTCCACTGTCACAAGTCCAGCTCACAAACCCTGAGTATATTCTTTCCTAATGAAATTAATCAGGACAACTTTATGTTTTAAAAAGGGTGATAGATCATCACTTTTCTGGGTATGTGACAATGAGCTTCTGGGTCAAGTTATTAAAACTGTCCATCAGGATTTAGACTTTCCATCAATCTTCTTTTTATAGTGAAGCTTTTTTTGGAGTGAGATTAAAACAGGCTGGTCAGATAATCATGTTTTATCATTGTACAGCTTGATAAATACAAGTATGTATTTTTGTTCTTCTTTGTTTCATTGTTTATTTTGGACTATGTAGCTGGCTGAGTGGCAGAGCACATACGTGGCATGTTTGAGACTAAGGAGACTCTGAGCTTGGTTCCTAAACTTCCATGGGTGACTCTGCTTGCCCTCAGCACTTTTTGGCATGACCCCCCAAACAATAGTAATGAAAGAAAGAGATGGGAAGGGAAGGGAAGGGAAGGGAAGGGAAGGGAAGGGAAGGGAAGGGAAGGGAAGGGAAGGGAAGGGAAGGGAAGGGGGAAAGGAAAAAAAAAGAGAGGGTCCAGGAACATTTGCTCCAGTGAGTATGTGACTTGAAATAACACAAAAAAATAAAATCAGAGAGTCCCTCCAGGAAGAATTTGTGTCTTAGATATTTCCCACAATTGGGAGGGTTCACTGGCTCAAGAAAGGCCAGGGGTCAACCTCAGCCCCCTGGAGAAGAGAGGAATTCTGACAGCAGGGTTGGCTGTAGGCCAGGACGCCTCGCTTTTCTTACTTTCCTCAGGAGCCCTATTGCTATCTGCTGAGGCTTTCTGTACCAACAGCATGTGCCTTTGTGGTTGGGTGGAATGATTGGACCCCAGAGGGCTCTGGCCTCCTGGTGTCTTTCACACAGAGGAGCCGGCCCTATCTGGACTTGTTACATAATGTAATTGCAATAATTAAAATAAAGACTATGGCCTTCATGACAGATGAATCAGATCAGAAAGTGTAGCCCACTGTTCCTAATTTATTTTGACCTCTTGTTTTCCTAGGGTGACAGAGAAGCAGAGCTGGGACTGCCCTTTTCTCCTTTGTGCGATCGAAAGTCAACCATGGTTGCTCAATCTCAAGTAGGTAGGTGTTTGTCAGCCTCTGTGATGGAAAGGAAAAGCAGAGAAAGACGTCTACGGAAATAAACTCACACGTTCCCGGTGATTCTTTGGCTGGGAATCTGGTTCCATTCTGTCATGCTGTGCTCCTGTGTTCAGCTGGTTGGGTTGATGAAGGCTGCCCCATCTTTCTTCATGGAATGTGGCTGGTTCATGAAAAGTTTAGTCAGTGCCATTCTGCTGTCTCCATGATTCCTCCTAGATAAAAATAGACTCTAAATCTCTAAATGATCACAAGAGTCAGTGGCAGGATGCCTGTGTTCTTTCTCACCATTCTTTGCCCATTCTGCATGCAGCATCAGAATGCAATCTCTGCTATGTTTTTCCTCATTTATGCTTCTTCTCGAGCGGGCCCAGTAACGTCTCCATTGGAGACTTTGTTGTTACTGTGTCTGGCATATCGAATACTCTCGGTAGCTTGCCGGGCTCTCCGAGAGGGGCGGAGGAATCGAACTCGGGTCGGCCATGTTGGCCGCTTGTAAGGCGAACGCCCTACCGCTGTGCTGGGCTGGAGCGATAGCACAGCGGTAGGGCGTCTGCCTTGCACGCAGCCAACATGGCCGACCTGAGTTCGATTCCTCCGCCCCTCTCGGAGAGCCCGGCAAGCTACCGAGAGTATCTCGCCTGCACGGCAAGCTCCCCGTGACGTATTTGATATGCCAAACACAGTAACAACAAAATCTCCAATGGAGATGTTACTGGGCCCGCTCGAGCAAATCGATGAACAACAGGAGGGTCTTTACCTTTACCTTATGCTTCTTCTAACTCCCTTTCCAGGACATTGCCACTTCCTGGGTCATACTATTTCCAGAAATGGCCCCCCTCAAGTCTGTCATGCCTTATTTTTTGTAAAAACACATTTTAGAAATTGTTTTTTGATTAGGGCAGCTTTGGTATTATGACTAGGCTTAAGACATACTCATCAGGATGGAGAAGATAGGGTTAAGGTGTTTGCTCTGCACCCTTCCGGACCACATCTGCTTCCCAAGCACCAATGGGGGACACAGAGCAAGTATGCCCCTAATAATGGTCTGATGTGGCCCCAAAACTAACAGGTAAGGAAGTGTATATATAAATATTTTATATATACATATAAAATATATATAAAGAAAACTTCCATTTGCTTTATTTGGGCTTCTCCTTTTTGACATTTCTGTGCACTTTACAATAATTTATAATCTTTAAACTCAGGGAAGACGGTGTGGTCTGCTGTATCTTAGCTTTTACATAGCACTTGTTACGATTGTTGCTGTATTTCATACACACACACACACACACACACATACATATATATATATGTTTTGGGGCAGTACTAGCAGTGCTCAGGGCTTACTCCTGGCTCTGGCTCTGTGCTCAGGAATGACCCCTGGTAATAATGCTTGATGGAGTTTTGAGGACCATATGTGGTGCTGGGATCGAACCCAGGTTGGGCACATGCAAGGCAAGTGACTTACCACTGTACTATCGCTCCCAACCCTATATTTAATATTTTTAAAGCTATGTGTTGAATGACCTACTGACAATGACCTAGGAAAGTTATATAGGAGAAGTAAAATTTACTAATAATTCTCAAATCAAGAAATGTATTACGTGGATGAAATCAATTTGTTGAGGAGTTTCTATGCAGATGGATTTAAAAAGCAAGAAGGGACTCACAGTTTTCAAGGGAAGATCTGTAATTTCTCTGAAGCACTGCTGTTTCTCCTCAGGTTTCATTGATTTCATCGTGGAACCCACTTTCACTGTGCTCACAGACATGACTGAAAAGATTGTGAATCCAGTAGTTGACGAAAACTCCCAACCTGGTGGGACTGGACAGAGGCGTTCAAGGTCAGTGAATGCTCAAGGCCTGAGACTCAGATTGGCTTATCCATGAGGATAGGATGACTCTTTTTTTATTGAACCACCATGAGATAGTTACAAAGCTTTCATGATTGAGTTTCAGTGTTACAATGATCAAGCACCCATCCCTCCATCAGTGTACATTTTCCTCCACCAATGTCCCCAGTATCCCCCTCTCTCACCTCCCCCTCCCCCTGCCTCTATGTTAAACAGTTTCCTTCTTACTCTCTCTACTTTGGGGCATTATGGTTTGCAATACAGATACTGAGAGAACATCATGTTTGATCCCATATCTGATTTCAGCACACGTCTGCCATCTCAAGCGATCCCTCCAATCACCATTGACTTAGTGATCCTGTCTATATCAGCTGGAATAGAGGATGCCTCTTTTGTAAGGTGTAGTTGTGGCACTAGTCCTGCCTCTTTGTAAAGGCCCTCCCGTTGATTGTCGATTTGCTCGAGTGGGCCCAGTAACGTCTCCATTGGAGACTTTGTTGTTACTGTGTCTGGCATATCGAATACTCTCGGTAGCTTGCCGGGCTCTCCGAGAGGGGCGGAGGAATCGAACTCGGGTCGGCCATGTTGGCTGCTTGTAAGGCGAACGCCCTACCGCTGTGCTATCACTCCAGCCTCTTTGTAGAAGTAGAGTGATAGCACAGCCTCTTTGTAGAAGAAATGTTTATCTCTGTTTTCTCAGAGGTCTTGAGTTCCCCAGGCTTGCATGGAAGGGGGTGAGCATTTTCCGATACATGGCCGCAGGCACCTGTACATCCATCCTTGAGCTCCCACCCATTTCCCCTGTGATACTTTCGCTCGTGGCAGTAGCGATTATTGCGTAAAAACCTGGTATTCTCAACTCGTTTTCACTATTGATATTCTTATAAGAAAGTGCCCCTCATCAGAGTTATCACAAAAAGAAACCAAAAGAAAAAGAGTGGGGGAGGGGAGAATGGGAAACTTTAAATCATCTTCTGCCTAACACCCTTCTATTGAAAGTAGATTACCACTTAGCTAACAATGGACAGCATCCTGACCTCAGTTATTAGCTGTGAAATTGGGAAAGCTGCTTTGGTTTCATCAGTGGGGAAACTGTAGATTGTAATACTGGTAGCCTCTGCTAGTACTATTAATTACTGTTAGTACTACTTTAGTTTCCTTGATTTCCCATGCAGAACCTTGGACTGTCCCAAGGACTGTAGCACTGTCAGTAGCACTGTCCTCCTGTTGTTCATCGATTTGCTCAAGTGGCCCCAGTAACATCTCCATTATGAGACTTTGTTGTTACTGTGTTTGGCATATCGAATACATCACTGGTAGCTTGCCAGGCTTTGCCGTGCGGGCAAGATACTCTTGGTAGCTTGCCAGGCTCCAAGAAGGACAGAAAAATCAAACTTGGGTCAGCCGCATGCAAGGCAAATGCCCTACCCGCTGTGCTATCACTCCAGCCCATAGCACAGTGGTAGGGCATCTTCATTGCACGCAGCTGACAGGGCCAATCTGAGTTCAATTCCTCCACCCCTCTTGGAGAGCCTGGCAAGCTACCTGTGATGTATTCGATATGCCAAACACAATAACAAGTCTCACAATGTTACTGGGCACGCTCGAGCAAATTGATGAACAATGGGAGGACAGTGACAGTGACAGTCCCGAGGACAAAGCAGAGAAATAAGGGAATAAGAAAGGGACAGAGGGCAATAAAAGAAATAATCAGGGAGAAGGGAGGACAAAATGATAGGTTCCGGGACTCCAGGGAAGGTCGGGGTAGATGGAACCTCGACTGCTGCTGCTGCTGCCCCTGCTGACTTCTTCAGACTCCTTACTGCTCTGCCTGAAAGACAGCTCGCCCCCTCATTCCCCCTAGCCACTCAGTGGTTTGTGCTCATATTACTTCTGATCTAGCCACCCAGAGGCATGTGATGGTTCTTTAAAGTTTTCCCAGATGATGGCACTTTCTCCTATTTGCACAGTTGCCCATGTTTAGGTTATAGGTAATATTTTTTGGTTTGGGGCCACACCCAGTGGTGCTCAGGACTGACTTTTGGCTCTCTGTTCAGGGATCACTCCTGGCGGTGTTCATGGGACATTATTCTTGGGGACCAAACCCAGGTTGGCCACATACAGAGACAGAACCTTACCCACTGTACTCTCTCTAGCCCAATATTCATGTTTTAAATGTTCTTTTGCCAGACTGGCCTGGCAGTAACCCATAAAATCACTTTATCCTGACCTTGTGGATTAGAGGCAACAAGGGGAGATGGGACCAAGAAGACTAAGTTGTAGGGTAAAAACAATCTCTAAACCAGTTTCCTACAGATACATGTATGTGTATTAACAATAAACAGTACTCAGAAACCACCTGGGCACCCTACAGTCAGGTCATTTCCAACAGCTCCTGACTTGAAATAGCATTGGGTCACCTGGCTTCAGTCCTATGCAGCCGTACTCCTGCTCCCCACTTCAGGTACAGTCTCATATCAGGCTAGCCTCTAACTCTAAGTACACATTAGAAGTTCTCATGACTTCCTCCTTGAACTTGAAGACACTAACCCTGAATCCAGATTGTTACCTGGGAGTCTGTGACCCCAACCACATGAGACATTCTGAGTCCAACTCAGATTCAATTTATTTGCTACGGAGGTCATCACAGATTCAGAGAAAAATTCACTTCCTAGATTATTATAAGGGAATATAATTCAGAAACACCCAGAAGACAGCGAAGCCTCTATCTGTGTGAAAAGAGAATTGAGATGACCTCTCTAGGAACACTGGTCTACCCTTTAGCTCACTGAACCCCATTATGTTAAATTATTTTATGGAAGCTTCTTTGAATATACATAATGGATAGATTCACTGACTCTTCACAATTGATTTCATGTTCAACCCTCCCTGTTAACCAGAGATTGGATGAGTGGACAGTGAATCAAGAGACAACCAGTTTTTAAACTTAGGTACGATCCAAAAGTCTCTTTATTTTTATTAACATAATACAAACCCTCTTTTTGTTCTCATTTCTTAAAAATTCCAATGATTTTCAGGAACTCAAGAGTGGTTTGAGCAACATATATACGTAAATGTTGTTCATATATATGAACAATATGTATATATATATATCGTTCAATGTATACATATGTGTATACAAATCACTGACTTAATTTCATTTATTTATTTAAATCACTGATTTAAACATATTTAGATGCATATTTACATCATAGTTTCACACTGGTAAACTTGGGAGTATCACACTGGGTCGATTTGAAAGCAGATCAGTGAGCTCTGGAACCAAGTCCAAGTTGAAATGAGTTCATTTTAGAGAGTTGCAAACAAAAAGAAAATTAATGGAAAGAAAAGACTCAACAGAAAAGTAATGTGGGGAAGTGGAGATAAATTACAGGTGTAAGGCTTTTGCCTTGCATGTGGCCTATTCTGATTTTATCTCCAACATATGATTGATATGATACATATGATTCCTTGAGCAAACCAGGAGTGATCCCTGAGCACAGAGCAAGGAGTGAGCCTTGAGCATTGCTAGGTGTGGCCTACCATTCCCTACCCCAATTTAAAAAAAGAAAAGAAGGAAAGAGAAAAAGAAAATGAAACGTAATATGAGGATCACTAGACTGAAATCTAGATATTTTTCTACCCAAAATAAAGAATTTCCTATATGTCCCCTGTGGAAAATAGATTGATTATGGACCTCAGGACTTTGTGGTAGTAACTTGATGATGCTAACTGCTCCCTCCTGGGTCTTGTTCATTGGCAGGCAGGTTTTCAACATTAACCCTTCTCTCTGCTGTGATTTCTTTGTTCTCCAGCTTGAACAACATCAATTCTGCAGACACAAAACGATCAGCTGTCAAGAGTGCTGGCTCAGAAGGAAGTGCCCCCGTCAACAACTCTGTCCTCCCTGTTGACTATAAGAGTTTTAAGACCACTTGGACGGAGGTGGTGCATATCAATCGGGAGAGATGGAGGGCCAAGGTGCCCAAAGGTAATGTGCTCTAAGTCATCTTTCAGAAGGTTCCAAACCACTCAGCACCCGGTTGGAAGTATGCAGCCCCTGATTTTGTAGGTGTTGCAAATTAAGTATTGCCTCAGTATGTCTGTTCAAATTCTGAATGTTTTTATCTACCTTTTAAAAATCTTTACTATGTCTGACACTCAATTCATGTTGAGTGACACAGACTGCCAAGTCTCCTGATGGTATGGCCTTTGTGCTGTAGAGCCTCTGTATTTTTCTTGATATGAAGATTCTACAGTGATTGACTGTTATTTCTTGGTTTCTGCTCAGCTAGCTCATCTTTGCCATTTCATGTAACCCTTATAAGCATGAAGCTTTTATTCCTTTCTCTATTGAAGCAAATTCTGACCATAAGCCATCTCAGCCATTTCCTTGGAATAGAAGGAATATTGAGTTTCTTTTCTCCTTTCTTATTTTCTATTCATAGTTTCCTTTTCCTCATTACTCAGGGTCTTCTGAGATGATGGTAACTTGAAAAAAAAGTAAATTATTGTTAGTGTAAACAGAACAAGATTGAAATATGTATGTTCCTTAAAATCTCAAATTTAGTTATTCAGACCCAACTTTGTGTTTTTGAGCATATATTAAATAACCAACATGTACTAGTGGCTCTTAATGCCATTTAGGTAGGGGCTCAGAACTGAGATTAGAGATGTAAAGCAGTGGAGTCTATTTCCATGGAGAGACACAGACATGGATGACCCATTATTTGTGGAGATGAGACTTCAGAATGGAAGTTTTGTTTTGTATCTATTGAACCCTGGGCCAGGCTGTCTGCTTCCATGTCAAGGATGAAGTCGAAAGTAACAGACTTCCTTATCTTCAAAGCCATTAGTCTTGGGGAGAGGAGGAATTGCAGTGTGGTTTCTTTCAAAGAAAGAATGCAGTTCCTTTACTGGATTTGTGCTCCTCACCAATGAGGTCCCTAGCCTTGACCCCTTATGTTCAACAGATACAAGAGATTTATTACCAAACACACATCACACTTACTTTGTTTGGGGGCCACATCCGGCAATGCTCAAGGCTTATTCCTAGCTCTGTGCTCAGTGGCCATGTCTGGCGGTGGTCCTCGACCTGTATGTGGTGCCAGGGATAAATCCCGGGGCAATCGTGTGCAAGACAAGTGCCTTACCATCTTTACTGCTTCTCCAGTACCAAATATTTCACATTTTTTAGCCACACAGTGTCAACAAGGCATTTACGAAGAAGAGTGAGTCTTCCAATGTGGAAGAGAAGGGACCTTACTTTTGAAGTCATGAAAGGTCCAGCCACTGTGTCTGAATCACAAAATCCTAAGTGACTATTTATTTCAGATGGTGGTTTATATTTATGATGCTTTAAAGGCATAATTGAGCCCTTATCACTTTAGGACAGATGTTGCATCCTGCTCTGTGGAGGAAGCCAAAGGCTCATCCATATTTTAAGAGTAGCCTCTCAGCGTCCATTCAGGCGCTTTAAACATTGAAGGCTTCCCTATTGGCAGGCATTGCAAGCAGCAGTGGCAGCGACTGCATCTTCTCAAAAAAAAATAAAATAAGCTCTCTCTTATAATCAATTACACTCATTACTCTCGAAAATCCAGTTCCTCACGACACGCAATTTAAAGAGGTACTTCAGAATAATTTGTTTGCAATTATCTGGCTTACTAAAATTACCTCTGAAACTAATCACCTGGGGCAGAGCATTAGACAGTTTCTATTCCAGGGCAAAACCACCCCTTTCAAAAGGGCAACTAAACATTAATTTTTAAATCCTATTAGGTATCCTGATCTGCTTAACTCTTTTAAGAGAGTAGAAAGACTTGTCTAATTTTGCTTGGGCTGTATAGAAAGGTATTTAGTAGCCAAGAACTGAAGTGGTCTTGTAGTCTGGTTGAGCTCTGAAGTGTTGTATTAAAAGTAGGGAACCATGGAAGAAAGAAGAGAGCAGAGTTGTGGAGTTACATGTATTTTGTTGGAAGATAGTTAGGTTATCAAAGCAGATTTCAGTTAGGACAAGGGAGAATTTAATCCTGTTTTCGTTGGCAAATTCTACTAGATTCTTTGAGAAATTTTCACTTGGAAGATAATAATATACAGAGTTGATGCAAAAAAATAGAAATAGTATATGTAAACCACTGCATAGCATAGAACCTGCCCATAGTGAATGTTTGAAAAGTGGTAAGTCATTTCAGAAAATTGGAAAAGAAAGTTAGAGATTTGAATGCAAAGTCAGGATGATGTAAAAAATACCACTCTACATTATTTAATTAACATTTCCAGCCTCCCATTGATGTTGATGAATGGCTGTTATTAAGAGATTAAATTTATATCTATTTTTCTCTTAGTCATCGGTTTGTATTAGATTATCCCAGACTTTTGTGAAACCTGATCTCTCCCTACCCCAATGCCCCAATTTAAAGTAAATTTCTCTCCATACTTGAACCTGTGTTGTATTAAACTAATCAGAAATAGGGTTGTTTCTAAAATCTTGCTCTTATAAATCAACCTGATTTACAGAGCTAACACTAGGTCAGATCCCACAGTTTTTAGGAAAGGTCTTAAATCAATATATGCCTTTTTTTTTTAGTTTTTTATGAATTCAAAAATCACTATTCCCCAAAACATATGCATAACATTTGAATATCTAATTAATATCAAAGAAGAGAGCAGAGTTGTGAAGTTACATGTATTTTACATACAATTCAATATTTTCCATTTGATTATTTAAGTTTTTCAAATTTTATTTATTTTGGGAGTTAGGGCCACACCCAGCAGTGCTCAGGGCTTCCTCCTCATTCTTGTGCAGGGATTACTCCTGGCAAGGTTCAGAGGACCATATGGGGTGCCTGAAATTGTACCTGGCTGTGTGCAATATGCTATACTATTTCTCCAACTCCAGTATTTACATTTTTAAACTAAAAAATCTAGTATTGTAATTGTATGTATTTATATTTTAATTGATAAATATAAAAATAGAGAAGAAAATGAAGTTATACAGAACCTCTTCTCCAGCCAGATAGGATTATTGTTGAAATTTTGATATAATTCTTTTTAATATAATGGACCACGTATCTGTATAAGTAAAGAGTTTTCCCATAAGTTAGAATCAAATTGTCTTGTATTTTGTTTTTCAACCCATTTAAGCATTTTTCCTCATATGAAATATTCCTTGAAATGTATTTGAAGTAATTGCGTTCTATGGAATACCAGAGTTGAACTATTTCTATATTAGTGTGTGGTTTCATTTCTTCATTATTGTGCACTTTGTTGGAACATAGATGTTTCTAACATGTTTTAAACAAATTTCAAAGTACTTGAGCCTACCTTTGATTATTTTGCTGGAATGACTTTCTAGATGTGGAATTTCTTTGTCAGAGAAATGAAAAATTTAAATCTCTATATCACTGTCACTGTACTTCCATTGTTCATTGATTTGCTCCAGCAGGGCCAGTAACATCTCCATTGTGAGACTTGTTGTTACTGTGTTTGGTATATCAAATCTTTATATATCCGGATAAATTTCTCTGTAAGATTTTTTTGGGCTTTTTTTGCAATTTTCTATCCCAGTAGGGCTGGAGCGATAGCACAGCGGGTAGGGCGTTCGCCTTACAAGCGGCCAACATGGCCGACCCGAGTTCGATTCCTCCGCCCCTCTCGGAGAGCCTGGCAAGCTACCGAGAGTATTCGATATGCCAGACACAGTAACAACAAAGTCTCCAATGGAGACGTTACTGGGCCCGCTCGAGCAAATCGACGATCAACGGGAGGGCCTTTACCTTTTACCTTTACCTATCCCAGTAGTAGCATACTAAGAGGACCTATTTCTCTACTTCCACTATCTTCCTCATTTTTTGGACTCTCAGGTGGTTGTATTTTTATTATTGCCCATAACTCTTTGCATATTATGTATGGTAATTATTCAGTTGATAAAATATCTTGCAATTTATACTTAGCCCTCATTTTTACACATGCCTTTTAATTTTATGTAGTCATTTTCATATATTCTTATCTATTGTATAGATTACCTCTAATTTTGACAAGAGTTATCTCTATCAACATTGATATTAAATAGTTTGTATCGTGCTAAATAGTGATTCTTGTTTTAAAATTCTGAGATACATATAGGAATTTTTTATTTCTTTAATCATCACCCAGTATTTACTGAAATTATGGCATTTCATTATTATTATTTCACACTCATAGTTTTATTTCTGTTTTTGCTTTGGGGGTCACACACATGGAAGTGCCTGACACCGGGGCTCACTCCTGGCAGTGCTCTGAGACTCAGTGCCAAGTCAAACCCAAGAATGCAGAGCCTATATTCCATCTCGTTGAACTATTTCCCAGACTCTATTTTGGTATTTTTTAATACTTAAATCATTTTACAGTCAATATTTACATCATTTATCAAAAATAAATGTAGTTTATCAGAAATTATTTTGTTTAACACTCACCTGTATTAGTTTCACTACACATTGTTATTTTCCTCCATTTATATTTATTAAATTTGGGGTTTTTTTCTGTCGGCTGAAATACTCTAGCTAAAATTTTTAGAAAGCTCCTGTGGCAGTACATTCTGGTGTCCTGGGTGTCCATGAGTACCTTTCTGTTATGAGTAACAAGAATTGACTATTCATGTAGTATATATGTTTTTGCAATTCTCCCTTCTTCCTTTTTTTCTGTTTATAGGTAGTTTAAGTGTTTCAGAAAATTACTCCAGGGAACAACTAGCCCGATACCATTATAACCAAGAGTCTATAGTATCGTTATTTGAAAGGCAAATTAAATCAAGGAATCGATGTATTTCTCCAAGACTGCACAGCTACTCAGTATGGGATTGAGCAAATCTCAGGAGAACGGTTAATTTATACACCGTGATGGCTCTGCTCTGCCTTAACTCTTGTCTGCCACCTTGACCATCTTCATGATGTTACTCTACCACAGATGATGTGAAATGGATGCAAAAGAAATGAGATTTAACTCTGACATTTGCTTTTTACTAGTTCTGGAAGGTTAAGCTCTGCATATTTGTTGTTGTTGGAACCTGTCAGCACATACAAATTGTGTTCTTGTCTACTTTTCCTCGTGGTAGGAAGGTTTCACATATATATAACTTTACCCTAAAAATAAGAGAATTTCATCACTGTGGCACAGCCTGATTCTTTCTTTTTTCCGATGTGTGCCATTTTGTCTATTTATTTTGAGTGGTATCATTGGATGTTGATGACCAATCCCACCAATGTTGAATATCTCAGAGATAGGAAGAAGGGATAGGGAGAGAGTTGAGAAAGTAAAGGACATTGCTGATCTGCCTCCAGGAACAAGATTGCTTCAGGGAAAGGAATAAGAATGATGCAGCCTTATATCTGGCTGATTATGATGTCATAAGAGCCACCATTCAATAATTTAAGCACTAATTGTTGGCTGTCAGCTGTAGTTGAACCAAAGTAGATTTAGTTCTGAAAATATATTTACCAGTGGTTGTGTGTGTGTGTGTGTGTGTGCTACATACCCATAAAAAATTGGTCTGACTTAGTTGTCAAATAAACTTTTCTTGCTCATAATATTTTTTTCTCAGTTGTAGCAAACCAGAATTTAACACCTTCAGTTTTTATTAAAATTATTTTTAGTGTGGGGCAATTTTGAATGTTGAGCATTTTTCACAAACTTAGTAGGGATTCTGTCAGAGGATTTTAAATTATCTTGCTTAGACCCAAGTTGGCATGAATTTCTCCTCCCCTTGCCTTATTTTCTCTCCATGTAGTAAAAGCAGTCATTATTTTACGCAGTTGCTCTAGTGGTTAAGAAAAACAACATTTATCAAGTGACAACTTTGGGACCGAAGTGATAGTACAGTGCAGTCCTTGCCTTGCACACAGCAAACCTGGGTTTAATCACCAGCATCCCATTTGGTCCCCTGAGCACCATTCGGTATGCCTCCCCACCAAAAAGTCAAATGACAACTTTTCCAAAATAGGGCTTCCACATGCATAAGCTTTTTATATTTTTACAAAGGTCTACATTTCCAAAGATGGAATTTGTAAAGTCAGGTCCGTGGATACACATTTGTGAATCATACCCATTGGACATATTTCATTTAGTCAACAAATACGGTATGAACACCTGCTACTTGACAGGTGATCTTCTACCAAGCTCTGGGAATTAAGTAATAGAAATGGCATTTGACTACTCAGGACACTACAAAAGTTTGAACAGAAACCTGGATAAGTTGGGGTGGGGGTGGTGTGGGTGGTATTACTTCCATGGCCCTTCATTCTACTGAGAATTATATCTCATCATCTTCTGCAAGGACTTTCTTTTTTCCATATATTTCTAAGGAAGTCAGAAGATACTATATGTGCATAAAATTATGTTATTTTGTAAAGAAACATTCCTTTGCCTCTTTAGTATAAATTATAACTACATCCAGCTTGAAAGTATAATGTTATGAAATACTAATGGCAAACATTGGAAATTTAAATCAGTGCTGTCAACCTTGATTGAATGTTAGAATTATTTAGAAATTTAGAAAGTGCTTAAAATACTGTATTCTTACCCATTCCTCCCAAAATCTGATGAAATTCCTCAGAGATAAGGCCAGAGCTTTGGTTTGAGTAGGCGAATTGATGAATCAATTAAGTATGAACACAAATTTCATAATCTATCATTGAGAACTCAAATCTGAGCCACACAAGTGTGAGATGCATAAGAAGTGAGATGAAAACAGAGATTGTAGACATCTGCGCAATAACTCGCCATAAAGCCCTCTGGGCACAGAGGAGATTATATTTGAAGTTTGTTCTCTTTAGCAGCAAAGGAGAACTTTGTCAGATGCATAATCACGTTAGTATTTTTTAATCTGTGAAAGATAGCTCTTTTTGGAATCAAGAATGACCAGGGCAAATAGAGATAACAGCTGATTATGAGGTGTTGGGCATTTTTAACACATAAAGATAAAGAATGCAACATAGAGGTTGATGGAAGGTCATTTGAGCAAATTAAATGCTATATGAGGTGAATCTCCAGACTCTACAGGAAGATTGATCTTTGTAAAGAGCTTTCTATTATAAACACAACTTCTAATACAACTTCACTTCATTGCCTCCCAATATCCTGAGTGATCTCAACTCTATCACTTACCCTTTGCTAAACTCTCTTTAACCATGCTGCCAAACTCAGTTCCCTAGAACAAAACAAGCTCATTCCAGTCTCCTGGCCTTTGCATTTTCTCATTGCTCTGCTAGGAAACCCATTCCTTCAACTATTGTAGGACCAACTCCTGTCATTCAAGATTTGATCAGATTTCAACTTCTCATATAATGTCCCTCCCTCCTGTATATTGATCCTGCTCCATTAATCTGCTTTGATTGACTCTTTTGCAAAGTGGTTTTTACCCTCAGAAGTTATTTTAGTGATTTGTGTATTTCCTTTGATAAGTCTTTTTACTTGCTGTTACATTACCCAAAATGGTGTGAATGCACTGCAGCAAAATAATAAACAGTTGAATTAACAATAGTGTCTTTTCATAAATACTTAACCATATGCAGTTATGCTATGAATTTAATTGAGCAGCTTTAGAGTCTGCTTTCCAAGTAAGCTGACCAGACCCTAATAGTTAACCATACTAGAAGTAAAAATGATGTCTACTAAAAAAAAGGGGGTAAGGCATGTTTTTAAAAAAAGACCTGGGTAAACTAAAAGCCAATTTTTAGTCTTCTGAGACAGCTTGAAGAACAACCAAATTTTATTGTAAGGCTTACCCACCATTTTCCTATGTCAACATTTACAAATACTGGCTTGATTTTGCATTATTGTAGTGGTGATTATTTTCCCTGTCTTCTTGGTTTTTTAATCAGCTATTCATATTTAAGTTTAGAGTCCTAAGCAAATCTATATGAAACTATGATTTTTTTTTGTGGACGTGGGAGGATTTTGTAATGTTTTAAAACTTCAGTTTCATATTTGCAAGGTGGGTAACACTACAATAATAGTAGTCTGCAGAGGATTGTTTTGAGAATCAGGGGAAACAATCTTTGAAAAGCACTTAGCAATTACCAGGCATAAAGGACACTGGTGATCATAGTATTAGTAATGTCAGTGATCGTATTTTATATTAATTATGGCTGTCCTTATTATTACTTTCTGTCTGTCCCACCTAATGTTTTTAGAAATGGTTTCACTACTAACCTTTTATTTTCCTAAAGATCTATGCCTGTATGGCCTGAATCAGTCAGAGCTACACCCAGAACACTCTAAAAATACCATGTCATAATCTAGTGTAGATGATTGTCTTTCTTCAGGTATATGATTCTTCTAATGGCATGGCCATTTTTTGTTTGTTTTCTGTGCCTTTCATAACTTTCCATGGACACAGAAGAGAAAGCCAAGAAGGAAGCCGAGGAAAAAGCTCGCCTGGCCGCAGAGGAGAAGCAGAAGGAAATGGAAGCCAAAAGTCAGGCTGAAGAAGATGCATCCGGCAAAGCTGAGAAAAAGACTTCTGGAGAAGGGAAGAATCACATCAATGGAACCCGAGCGAACAAGAGTGACAACCCTCGAGGGAAAAATTCCAAAGCTGAGAAGTCCTCGGGGGAAAAGCAACAGAATGGTGAGTTGAATTATGCCAATGGAAAACTTTTGTGGGGAGATAAATGCTAATAGATAAGTCGGAAATGGAAGACAGCTGTGCCTTGAAAGAGAGCTCCCACAGCAGGCATTGCCCCGACATCTGTATCAGCTGCTGCACCAGCTCCTCTCAGCAGGCAGGGCTGGGAATCCTAGAAGGATCCTATCAGAAGCAGTCAGAAGCCTGAGCAACCCACAGTCTGGGGAGAATATACCTTTGGGCTCTTCCCAGCTGTTTGGGACACTCTGGCCAGTGCCTGCCTGCCAATAGGGAAAATCTTCAGGAACGATCCTGATGGATTCTGGTGCTTACTGCCTTGTGGAAAAATCAACCTCTGTTGTGGACTGTCCCTAATCAGGCTGGAAAGCAGGTCCACATTAGACCTACCTACCTCAGTATGTATACGTTCATACAGAGAGTGAGTGCATACACTGGGGTGGCCAACTGTCTCAATTTACCTAAGTCTGAGTGCCTTCCACAGCTTCAAGGGTTTTTAGTTTTAAATCCAGAAAGCCTTTAAACACCAGGCAGTGCATGAAGCTGATGATTTTTTTTTAATGCAACAAGTACTTATTACTAACCAGTGCTAAGTATTTGGTTTGGCACTAGGGATTTAAAAATGAAAAAAAATAGTAAAGAGTTTATGATTTTGAAGAGAGAGCAACAATCTCAGAAGTAATTCTAGTGCAGTAGTGCAAAGTGAACAAGAAGTTATGGCCAACTGAGTGCCCACAGACATGAGCAGAGAAAGAGACACTTTGGTCGGTGCTGACTGCAGGATGAAGTAAATGTCAAGGAGGGTTTCAAAAGGCAGTGAGGTCTGAATTGGATTTTAAATGTTGCAGTTTGGTTGTCAGATGGGATCCAGGGATTTCTCAGATGGAGAAGGAGCTCAGCTAACTCCCCCCGCATCAGTTCCCTCCTTTAGTGAAGGGCACAAGGCTAGGAATCTGTGGCCCTCTCACCTCCAGACGGTGGCCAGGTGGTTTCACACTCAAGTCCATAGGTGTGACAGTCACAACTGTGTTTCTCCTTTTCCTGTGGCCTTTGTCTGGTGATGTCATCTTTCACTGTCTTTATCATTTATGCACAATATCACTCAGGGCATTAAAATCACCCACAATGATCTTGTAGAAGGTGTGGTATTCTTTATAGAACTTCTCCAGCTCCATGTAGAACTTCTCGATTTCTCTTTCATCATAATGAGATGTTGGTGCATAGACAACGAAGATAGAAACTGTAGGCAGTGAGCCACATCTATTCAAATGTAAACGTCCGATTCCGGTTGTTAGGCATTCAAATGAATCAATGCTCATGGCCAAGTTTGTGTTGACAAGGACACTGACGCCTCCGATACCTCTTTTATCGCATGTTCCGAGGAATAATTCTTCTCCAGTATCGAAAACGGCATGGTGAGATTCGTGCCTTCTTGTCTCCGTCAGACCAATGATGTCGTACTTGATCATTCACGCTTGTACCATCAGGTCCTCTATGGATGCATCTGATGCTAGCGTATGTGCATTGAAAGTACAAACGATCATTTTTGTCTTCCTTCATTGTGGCAGCCTAGTTCGGCCTTGAGATTTTATCGGCCTCTCCTTTCTCATCCTTCTCAGTGCTGCCATGTCGGTGAAGCCTTCAGTGTCAGGTGAATGAGACCAGTTGTAGTTACTGGTTTTGGCATATCGAATACACAATGGATAGCTTGCCAGGCTCTTCTGTGCGGGCAGAATACTCTCGATAACTTGCCAGTCTTTCCGAGAGGGATAGAGGCTTTTGGAGCGACCTCTAATCACCCTTGTAGGTGTTACCATATATGAACCCTATAATGCCAAGATAGGACTGAGAAGATCAGCTGAAGAACTTCACATCGGAACCCATGGCCTAGAATGGAACAAACAGGGTGAGAGACTGTCTGAGTTCATCATGTCGACCAGGACCATCCATGGTAACTCACAGTTCCAGAAGGCAGAATCTAAACGTTGGACATGGGAGTCTCCCAGTGGACGATTCCACAACGAAATAGACCACATCATATTCAATCGATGGTTTTGCCTGACCGATGTCGCTCTTGTCCCAAAACTCGGAACAGGATTGGACCACCATCTCCTTTGTGCAAAATTCTACTTCACAGAGCGGGGAGAAAGGGCTGCAAAGTTCAAAAAGAGAACTCCCAGAACGACCACCAACTGGGAAATCTTTGGCACTATTGCGGCAACATGGGAAGATGCCATTGTTGACAACATTGATGAGGAATACAATCGACTGGTTCAGCACCTCCATGAATGTGCGAGGAACGCCAAGAGAGAGATAGCCACAAAAAATCGCCTATCTTCGAAAACTCTTGAGCTAATTCGCCAGCGTGGATTGGCGCATGCCTCAGGCAACCGAAAGCTAACATCCAAGCTCACAAAGCAGTGCAGAGATGCGATCAAGGAAGACCTCAAAGAGAGAAGAGCAGAAGTACTGGTAGATGCGGCAGAAGCTGGGAAAAATATTCGTAACGCCCGTCTGTCCTTCGCCAACTACAAGACCAAGATGACTGCCCTCCGACGTCCTGATGGATCCATCACATCCTCCAGAAAGGCAGCGGAGAAGATTATCCATGACTTCCACTCAAATCTCTTTGATAGCCATGTCCACTTGCCGACATACCAAATTCCACAGGATGGATATGTCATTCCCAACGTTCTCCCTTCCAAAATCCGACACGCCATTTCGTCGGTAAAGAAACAAACAGCACCCAGCCCAGACAAGGTCAGACCTGAACACCTGAAGAACCTGCCATCAGTACTCATCAATACACTGGCTCGGCTCTTCACTCGCTACCTGTCTGAATGCAAGGTTCCGTCCCAATGGAAAACTAGCAGGACCGTACTACTGTTCAAGAAGGGAGACATCCATGACATTGGCAACTATTGCCCTATCTGCCTATTGTCTGTCATCTACAAGTTGTTCACTCGAGTCATCCTAAATAGGATTGGCAGAACACTAGATGAAGGACAACCATGTGAGCAAGCCGGGTTCCGCAAAGGATTCAGCACCATCGACCATATCCACACGATAACCAAGCTCATTGAGATTTCTTTGGAGTTCAAGATGCCGCTCTGTTTAATGTTCATTGATTTAAAGAAGGCCTTTGATTCTGTTGAGATGGAATCGGTCACTGAAGCCCTAGCCAATAAGGGCATTCAAGCCCAATACATCAAGATCCTCCGTGAGCTGTATTGCGGATTCACTACCAGGATCTCACCATTCTACAAAGAAGTGATCATTGATGTTAAGAGAGGGGTTCGGCAGGGTGATACCATTTCATCGAAATTCTTCAGTGCCACCCTCGAGAACATCATGCGACGACTGGAATGGGAAGGAATGGGAGTGAAGATAGATGGTCGGCAACTACACCACCTCCGCTTTGCTGATGACATTGTTTTAATAACACCAAACATCAGCCAAGCGGCACAAATGCTGGCCAACTTTGACCGTGAGTGTGGAAAGGTAGGACTACAGCTGAATCTTACAAAGACAATGTTTATGAGAAACAGCCTCGTTCCTGATGCCCCATTCGCTCTCAATAGAACGACCATCTCCGAATGCAACAGCTATGTGTACCTAGGTCGAGAAGTCAACATGACAAATGACCTGGCACCCGAGCTGCACAGGAGGAAGAGAGCGGCTTGGAACACCTTCAAGAACGTCGAAGAAATAACTAAGAGGACGAAGAACCTCCGGCTCCGGGCACATCTCTTTGACTCCACTGTTCTTCCTGCATTAACATATGCCTCAGAGTCCTGGGCCCTACACAAACAAGATGAGAACGCTATTAAGGTCTCCCAAAGAAGAATAGAAAGAGCTATGCTTGGAATATCACGTTTCACTCAAATGAGAGAAAGAATCCGGAGTTCTGACATCCGTTGACGATCAAGAATCAGGGACGCTGTCTCATTTGCCAAGGTGTCGAAAATCAGATGGGCTGGTCACGTAATGAGACTTAAAGACGACCGCTGGACTAGAGCTGTTACCGACTGGATTCCACGGGATGTCAAAAGACCGCGTGGCCGCCCACCTACCAGATGGTCAGACTTCTTCGTCAAGATCATGAACGATCAGTTTGAGGCCCTTCATGTTCCCAGAGCGAACAGATGCCATTGGGCTACACTAGCACGCGACAGGGACAAATGGAGACGTTACTGGTGCCCGCTCGAGCAAATCAACGACTAACAGGAAGTTAAGTGACTTAAGTGATTAAGTGATCACTCAGGGCATGGGACACTGGTGAACTTCCAGTGATAATGATGGCAACCCAGAGATATAAAACAGCATTTGTTGTCATACACCTGATGCTGTTTCAGTTTTATCTTTACAGATTCACTTTCTTACCTTCCATGACCCACCAAGCGACCTATTCTAGGTTTTTTTTATTACGTAGTTCAGGAAAAGGAGAAATAGGTAGAAGGCACTTAACACTATCAGTATTTTTTGTCTGGCTCTTTTTACAATGCTCTAGGGTTTTTTTTTTCTCTGCTTATTTTTACAATGGATGAACATAACATGTAGAATCAGAAAACAATATTTAAATACTTATAATAATAATAGCTCATACTGTTGTCTGGAGATAGTACAATGGTAGTGTTCTGACCTTGCATGCAGCCAAATAAGGATCAATCCCTTATAGCATAGTCCAAGTAATGCCAGGAGTGATCCCTGAGCACAGAGCCAGGAGTAAGCCCTGAGCACCACTTGGTGTGGTCCAAAAGGTAAACAGAAAGAAAAATAGCTGATGCTGTGTCCAAAAAATTTACATTCATTTCCCCCCAATAACCCTTATGGCTATCTGGGAGCTAGGAAAGACCATGGTCTAGCTTTTCAGCACTTCATTAACCTAATTTCAAAAACTGCATTACAGCCCAGAAAAGAAAAGTTCAATTTAATGAGGTTTGATGGTATGCCTGTTGAAATTTTAAGTAGCAGTGCAAAACATT